ATCTAAATTTTAGTCAAAATTTATATTATTAAACCACTTGGCTAATCTCGATTATGTACACAAATTTGGCTTAATAATAAAAATTAACAAAAATTTTGAATTATCCCTCTTTTACTGACCACCTTCCATATAATTTTCAGTCAAATTTTTGACCATTAAGATACTTATTGGCTAAAATCAAAATAAAACCAATTTCCTAAAATCCAATCAATTTGTCTATTATTAGTATGAGATAGTAGTTATTTTTATGAAGTTTAACTTTATGTGGTTCTGGTAATAGGCCTAATGTAAACATGTTTTTCTTCTTAAATCTAATTTTACGAGATAAGTTGTAAATTACCTATAAATTACTTCACAACTATAGACAGAGGATTCAAACAGCTAAAACTACTAGTCTAGGTTGATCATAATTACCAAATGTGAATCATCTGTTTTACCTGTAAAAAAATTGGGAGGGTCTGGAATATCCAAATGCGATGGGAAGTTTTTCAAAACTTTACTATCATAGATATTAGATATCAACCCAGTAATATTTCGATTGACACATTTCTTCAAAAGTTTTTCGAAGCTAGATCTTTAATATATCGTAGATAATTGAGTTTTTAAGCATTGTAATTGAAATATTATCCTTAGACGCTAGATGTATCCATTATTTATTGAGACTTTCACAAGTAATTCTGAATCATAGAATTTATGATAACTTTGTATAAGATAGTTTGGAAATTCAATATGTATACATTTGAATCCTATAGTTGCATTATTATCTGGATTTTTTGGAATTATTTATGCATATCATACAACTTATTACAATCAGCACAAGTGGTAAAAAATTTTGATTTTCCTTATATTTAATAACTTTCTAGCTATATAGGTAGTTGAAGGAAATTCTTTAAACTGATATAAATCAATATCTTTTAAAACAAGGCTAAAGAAACTAATCAACGAGTTAATTGAAATATTAGGGAGTTTAAATTTTTCTTGGAATTTAAAGATCCAAAGAAAAATTCATAAATCAGTTTTGCTAATATTTGAAATAGAATTATTCTGATTTGAATCGTAATCAAGATTAACAGAAGCTACAAATAACTCATCATTATCTGAGAACAGTTCATCATTTAAAGTTTGTTTATTATCAAATGATTAAGAAAATTTTCATCACTAAATAAATTGTTTTGTGATTCAAGTACTTCATCTGAAAAAATGTTAATATTATCAGTTATACAAAATTTATAATATCTTCACTTTTTTTTATAGACGTTAAATTTCTAATAAAAAACTTTCATCAGATTGATCGTGATCGCTACCAATCATTATATCAATTTCATAAGGAATGTGATATCCATTGATCAAGTTTCAATTGAATTAGATCTAAGAAAACTGATTGGCATTAAATTGTAATTTTCTTTGCTTTTACTTTTATCCATTTTAAAGGTTGCATTTTGAAGCTGATTCTCTTTTATTTATTGTTTATTCCTGATTCTTGTATTAACAAGTTTACTATTACACATTTTACAATCACATGGTACTTTTGGTTGAACCTTTGTAACTTTTTTAGCTACAGATATTTCTTTATTTAATTCTTATTTCATTGATTGTTAGGACATTCTAAAAATATAGAAATTAGAGAGAAAAGTTAAATTTACTGGTTATATAAATCTATCCAATTAATTAATAAATAAATTGAAACGTTACTACTATTATGAATTCTATAATTGATTCTTATTACCACACTTTTTAGTATATATACAGTCAAACCTTGATATAGCGAATCCTTAATATAGCGAATTTTTAAATCAAATATATTAAAATTACCTTTACTATAGTGAACTAGCCAATTAAATTCTTTAAAAAATTCGTTATAAGCTTATAACGAAGTTGATATTCAGATCCTAGAATTCGTTATATCAAGAGTTCACTGTATGTATATATGTGATAATTATACACTATTTACCATATTTTATAATATAAAAGACACAGTAATAGTTGGTGGTAAAGAATAAACAGTAATTTAACAAATATATATTTTATAGAGGATACTTAATAATTTTAGTAAAGAAAATTTCTTAAGTTGGTATTTGATTTTATTGTTAATCAAATAAGGTATAGTTTATATGCATTCTATTGATTAATAAAGTTAATTGTTAGTATATTATGGATTTAAATTCCTATGGCGTAACTCACAGATCATTTCAATGGTATTAATTCATTGAACTCAAAAATTCATATAAAATAACAAATTATAAAATTTTTTTGAGATAAAAGCGAATTTATTTTATTTTTATGATTTTTATAATGAATAAACTTATATAATAGAAAAATTAATTAAACAAAAATTATAGTTGAAACTTTATGCCAAAAAAAAAATATGTTTCCTAATATACTTTTAGATCAATTTTGATAGATATAAAAAGAACAAACTTCAAAGTGACTTTTAAAAAATGAATAAATTATATTACACTTTTTAAAATACATAACATAATACAGACATTATTATTTATTATGACTTTTGATAGACATTCTCACTTTCGCTCTAAATATAAATATAACTGAAATAGGTTTCAGTCAAGAAGATATAGAGATAAACAGCATGTTGAAGATTGAAGATAGATATGATAGAAATAGAGGTTAAGTTATAATAAAATAAAAGTTTAAGTTATAATAGAGATAGAAATTCAAGTTATGATAGAGATGAAAGCTCAAGTTATGATAGAGATAAAAGAAAAAGTTCACATCATAATCGGCAAATCATAATAATGATATTATTTTTTCATTTCATTTATTATATAACTAATCATAATTATCAGTATAGGTTTCTATTATCTAATTCTTAGAATTAAATGATGAAGATGAATTGTTTTCAAAGAAACATTATAAAAGGGATAATGATAAGGCGAAGGAGAAAGAGAAACAAATTGATAAGGGTAAGTTTTATTGATTTTTACTAGTATTTACATTATATTTTATTATATTATGCATGATCTATATATATTTCAGATCAATTTGCTTTACTTTTATAAGATGATGGTATTCAAGAACAATTTAAAGAATTTTTACAAAACAAAATGAAGAAACTGAAATCAGAAAATATCTTATAATCAGATCAATCTGATATAAATATAAGGTAAAATGTTAAAATCTAGTGTTCCGCAAAAAATCCGATTCGATCCGAATCCGATCCGGATCCGACGGATCGGATC